AGTAGACATCTGCTCATTTCTAGATGTGTGATCTGCCACATTGCCTTCTGTGGCTGGCTGGGGCTCCTTCCTCTGGCTGCAGCACAGTTTTCTCTCCTGGGCAGGCTGTCCTGTACTGGGCAATTTTTCTTATCTCACTGTTCATTTTAGCTACCACTGTCTGTCCACAACCCCCTGGGGCCCCAGGGCTGGCAGAGTGCTCTGCCCAGAAGCGTGTGACGTCACACGGTTGAGGGTTGGAGGTCTGCAGGCTGACCGCAGTGCTTCGGGGCGTCTGCATGTCCGCCCTCTGGCCCTAGACCCAGCACTGACTTCCATGTCTTCCTGGCAGTGATACCATCTGTGATCTAGGGGGTGTTGATGAGCTGGCAAACTATGGAGAGTATTCGGGTGCCCCCAGCGAGCAGCAAACCTATGATTACGCCAAGACGATCCTCTCCCTTATGACCCGAGAAAAGCACCCAGATGGTGAGATGCGCACGCACACACACACCCCTTCTCCCAAAATAGCCCAGCACACTGCAGTGGAAACAGCTTTGTGCTAGGAGTCACTCAGGCTGTGGGTCCTGGTCCTTTGCAACTTGGGGCTAGTCATTTAACTTCTGGACCTCAGCTTCTCTGACTCCACCGTGGGCAGTGACCACATCTGTCAGATGGGGGTCTGGTGGGAGGTGGTGTCCAAGAGCAAGGAGGTCATGGGTGGTAAAGCTCTATAAACAGGTGTGAGGAGGAGGGCGCTGCAGCATGCTCTTGCTCTGATTGCTATAAAACTCAGTTCTTAGTGACCCTCTTGTGTGTTACCCAAGCTGTGCGATTCCCAGTGTCACCCCTTTACCACTTGCTCAATGTTTTGAGTCTGTGCATATCAGTTCCCCTTGCTCTGAGCCAGAGAGAGAGAGAGAGAGAGAGATTCCCACCAGAGCTATCCAGAACCGAGCTGGATTTCTGGGTGCTGAGTAGGAATGCTGAGAGATCCTGTGGTTTGGATTGACACTGCCCTGTGGCTTAGGTAGTGGAGGGTTGAGCCAATGAGGTTGAGTGTCAGGACACATCAGGAGAGACGTCCCGCTCACTCCCTGATAACTCCTAGCAGATGGAGGCCCCTCATGCAGAGGAGAGAGTGCGCTCCCTGAGTTGGATTTCTGGGAAGATGCTCAGGTCCGCCTCTCTAACCATTTTTTGACTTTTCTCTTACCCCAAATCCAGGCAAGATCCTCATCATCGGAGGCAGCATTGCAAACTTCACCAATGTGGCTGCCACGTTCAAGGTAACCAGCCACAGCTATGGTACAGTTTCTGGGGAAAGTGGGTTTGGAGAAAGCAGGGAAGGGGTCTTGCAAGCAAGATTTGAGCAGAGGCAAGTTCCCCTGAGTTACCTAGTCTGGGTAGGGGCTCTTGCCCTGGGGCCTCTGTGTGGGAGGAGCAGGAGATGTGTGTCTGAGGCTGTGGGTCTCTGGGCAAGCAGCTGACACACTGGACCGTAGTTCTCCCATCTGAAGTGTGGGGAGAATGCAAATTTTTGCTTTCACCCCTCTCAGGACCAGTTGTTGGAGAGTGGGCTCAACTGATGCTCATTTTCAACACTCCGCTGCAAGGCTATCTGGGTTCTCTGCAACTCCCGGTCTTTCCTCTCTCGGTCCTCAGCCCCCTTTCTAAAAGATCAGAATGAGGAAAGCGTTTTGATGACCTGGAGCTCCTGCTGGCTCAGCCAGGGTCCCATCAGCTGAGATCCTAGTACATGGGTCTAGGCCATTTGCACGTGACTGCTGGCCAACAAAGATGACAGAGCTAACACGACTCGAGAGTTGTCCCCTTCTAAGGCAGCCACTTCAGGAGGCCATTTATTATTCCACATTGTCAGGTGCTCAGTGAGCTATTAAGAGCATGCCACGTCTGCTAGTGCCACGTAAGTGTTGAGAATAATGAATAAATAAGTGTCAGTCTTGAAAGTCTGAGCTCTCAAGTGAGGGACCAGGCCCGAAACATGGCCTCCCTAACTGGACCTGATTCAACAGACAAATCCGAGACTGATGAGCCTTGATGGCTTTGTCTTCACTCCTGAGTAGCCCCATGGTAGGGGCGGCACCCGTGGTCAGGACTGTTAGGTCATGAGCAGGAACTGAGCATGGAGCTTTGTGTGAAATGCCTTGGGTGGCAGAAATCAGTCCCAGCTCAAAAACTAGCCCTCAGTGTGGAGATACAGAACAGGTACACACTTTTCCAACCTCCTGTTTTTCTACAGTGGATGTCTGTGGTAGGTCTGTCCCCACAGATCACTTAGAAGTTTTTGTAGGACCTTTACGTTGAAGAAGACTTTGTCTTGGTATCTCTGAGAACCCTTGTGCAAGGGCTAACATAGATTCCTCCCCACGCTGTAGTGAGAGGTGAGAGTGACTGTAGCCGGGGCAAGAGAGAGACCAGCAAAGCCCTGCTGACCCGACCCTGCGCACCGGTGCATTGAGGAATGTCTCTCCCGGTACCCCCTGTTCCCCTCTCAGCAAACTGATGAGTGACCAACGTCCTAGGCTGCTTGTACATAGTCCACCTGACACACGTACGGTCCTTGCCTGCCAGGGCCATGCTTCCTGAGAGTCTGTCCTGGTCACATACACCTGTTACGTTTCTTTATCGTGGTTGTGATAATCGATTTATGGCTGCCTTGATTTTAGTCACGCGTCTGTTGTCCCTTTGGGCTTCTAGGGCATCGTGAGAGCGATTCGAGATTACCAGGGCCCCCTGAAGGAGCACGAGGTCACAATCTTTGTCCGAAGAGGTGGCCCCAACTATCAGGAGGGCTTGCGGGTGATGGGAGAAGTTGGTAAGGTTGGGGACCTTTCCCTCCCTCCCACTCTGAGTGTCGGTAGCCTGCCCACTTGGGGTTCCTGAAAGCCAGTCTTTGGGCTCTTTGATGCTCTTCACACTCCTCTTTCTGGATACACAATTCGCTTCTGCTTCCATTCTCTGTCCTCCACACACAGCGCCTGTCCTGAACTTCAGAAGCTGCAGGAAAGCATTTTCATTCAGCTCTGCACTTAGCAAATATTTACAGACTGCCTGCTTCGTGCTAGGTGCCGTGCTTATCACCGGGGTCATAGCCACAAATGTGACAGACAGACAGCAAGCCTTCCTGGAGCTTAGGACACGGACAGGAGTGTCAGGGAGTACTGAGTGCTGTGCAGGAGAACAAAGCTGAGAAAGGGAGAGCGTGTGTGGAGGGGATGGGGCAGCGAGGGGTCTGTATGATGAAGAAGGCTGGGTGGTGTGGGGGGGAGTCTCTTCCCTGCTGAGGACAGGGAAGGCGTTTCTCAGGAGGTGGCACTGGAGTTGAGCCGAGAGACTCGAGAGCAGCCAGGTGAAGCTCTGAGGCAGGAGAGCTCCACGCGGAGGGAGGAGCAGGGCCAGGGCCCTGGGGAAGGAGCTCAGGGTGTCCGGGAGCAGAGAGCAGGCCAGGGAGGCTGGGGCGTGGGAACGCGGTGGTGGGGCTGAGGAGGGTTGGAGAGCCGAGGTCCAAGCCAGGAATAGGAGGAGTACAGACTCTGCCAGTGGTTTTGGTCACTTGAGTCTTGCCAGTAAAGCTGTTCTTGCTCTTACCAGCAGGTGGTCTTTAGAAAGATTTGTCTGGTGGTGACATTATGACAGCGATTTGTCCTGGATAACTGGTCTTGTGCTGAACGTGCTAGACACAGAGCAAGGCTGGAAAGGGGCCTTCACAGAGTCACGTGGACTCGGCCGCTTATTTGAAGACTTGAATGATGGGTTCCTTTTTTCCCTCACAGGAAAGACTACTGGGATCCCAATCCACGTCTTTGGCACGGAGACTCACATGACAGCCATTGTGGGCATGGCCCTCGGCCACAGGCCCATCCCTAATCAGCCACCCACAGCGGCCCACACTGCAAACTTCCTTCTCAACGCCAGCGGGAGCACGTCGGTAGGTGCCACCTTCCTCCTGCTTTACAGGAGGGAACCATCTCATCTTTTCCCCCATCTCCCAAATCCAGGGTACAGTCCCCCTCCTCTGCCATTTGGGGGCATAGGGAAAATACAGGGGGAAATTAGTACGTGATTGGTTTCTGGATCTCTGTGCCAATTTTTTTTTCTGCCCCAGTCAAGGGAGTACAATGGAAAGACCAAGGATTTTTAAATCAGATCCAAGTTCAAATCGTGACTCTCTTACAGCTTGCTGAGGTGGGGACCTTGGCAGGTATCTTACCCACTTGGAGGCTCAGTTTGCTCATCTGTGACATGGGACAATATTGACTCCTATTTCAGAGGATTGTTAGAATAGTACTTTTGGAAGCAGCATATAAAGAACAATGCTGTACCTAATTTTTTTTCTTTTCTTTTTTCTGAGACAGAGTCTCGCTCTGTTGCCCAGGCTAGAGTGCCGTGGTGTCTTCATAGCTCACAGCAACCTCACACTCCTGGGCTCAAGCGATCCTCCTGCCTTAGCTTCCCAAGTAGCTGGAAATACAGGCGTGCGCCACCACGCCTGGCCATGCACCTAATTTTTATTACCTGATTTCTTTGTGGGTTTTAAGGACTAGTGGCTTCTCCCCAGCTGTTACCTGTGACTTCCCTCTCACTCTCTTCCCTTCTTGCACCCTAGACTCCAGCCCCCAGCAGGACAGCGTCTTTTTCTGAGTCCAGGGCTGACGAGGTGGCACCTGCAAAGAAGGCCAAGCCTGCCGTGCCGCAAGGTAACTGCCAGAGGTTCCAACACACTGCAGGGGATGGCCCTTCAGTGCTCTCCCTGTCTCTTCCCTTTCCCCGTCCCACCTGGGCTGGCAGGGGCAGACGAAAAGTGCTTTGGGCTTTGCTGTGGGAGTGGGCGTGGGGTGTGGGATGGGAGTGGGATGTGAGGGTTTGACTTGAGCCTTCCCCATGAACCCTCCTGAAGCTGAGGACCCATGCTGTGCCTGGGTCACCTCACTCCCTACCCTCTTCTCATCTCCCCCCATTCTTCTTGGGAGGGTGTGAGCTGGGCACCGAGGTGCAGAGGAGGCAGGGCTACAGGAACACCAGGAGGCAGAAAGGTCCTTGAGACTCTCCTCCTGAGTGGAGGACAGGAGCCAGGAGCTCTGGACGGCAGAGCAAGCTCCGACACAGCAGTTCCCACCCCACCATCTCTGGGCTCTTACAAAGTCATTGCCTGCTCCCTGAGGCCACTGTAAGAAAAGCCCTGTCCACCGGCCCAGCCCATCTGTGTTTCCCCCGATTCATCTCTCCATCTTCCGAGGTACACAGTGTGATCCCAGCCGGCCAGGCTTTGCAACCAGCATTAGATAAGCAGCGCTAGTTACCACTGGGCTGAGGCAGCCTGTGCAGCTTCTTCCTGGTACAGACTTCGCTTAAGGCATTTTGGGAAATAGTGGCACTCGCTCCAGGGGCTTGAGATTGGAAGCCCCTGCGCTGTGATCCGCAAACCAGCAGCTTTGCCCACAGCACGGAATGACTGTGCTGTGGGCACAGGTCAACCCCATGCTGTTCTAATTGTCTCAGTGTCACATGGGGACAGAAGGGAATTGGGCATTAATAGGGTGGGGCAGGGCCAGCTAGGGAGCCTAGATAGGAGCACAAGTCCCCAGCTTTATCCCCCGGGACCTGGGGGAGACATCGGTGTTGAGCACACCCATACCTGGGAGCCTTTGTCCTCCTGCCCCTCTCTCTGCCCCCTTCGGTCTTTGGTCTTTCTTGCTTCTGTTCTGCACCTTGGTGCGTTCAGCTCTTCTGTTGACTTTACTCCTCCTGTCCATTGTGGACTAGTCAAGAGATGGTGAGGACATCAGCCCTCAAAGGCTTGTCCATGGGACCCTTCCCTGTTCCCAGCCTCTCCCTCCAAAGCGTCTGGCCATCAGTGGGTCACTCAGTTGCCTTGGTCATTTTCTTTGACAGATTCAGTCCCAAGTCCAAGATCCCTGCAAGGTAGGATGCCCCGACCCTGCCCCAGCTCCACGTGTGGCTTTGTTAGTGGTTTACAGTTTTACCGTGTGCTGTGTTTCCCTCTCCCCTGGTGGGTTGCAGTGTTGTCTGGTCTATTTTCTGTCCCTGCCTCAGTGTGGCCTGCCCCAAGTCCTGGTCTTTGCTCTTCCTCCCCTGCTTAGTACGCGCCTCCACTCGGCGCTCTCCTCACCGTGTGGCTGTCTGCGGCTCCGAGCCTGGGAGGCGGGTGGACGCTTTGGAAGGGGTGAGAGCCAGGCTGACAGCTCTGGAGAGCAGACTGGTGTCAGGGAGGGGATGTCACCTGGGAAGGAGGGAGCCGTCCAGCTGAAGGGGGAGTGGCAGAGAGCTGTGGTCGGATGTCGCCGCTGGCACGCAAGAGGGAGCCACAGATCACCCTGATTCTGATTCTCACATCTCATGATGTCATCGTTTTCTCACCTTTCCTGCCCCAGCTTCACCACTGCTGGCTTCATCCCAGAGCTCCTGCTACCAGGGCCAAGTTTAGGTTTCTCCAGGGTTATGGTGAAAGAACAGGATAGATAGAGGAGGTAGACAGCCAGAAGAGCGTGCAGTCCGTCTATAGACTGGGTGGTTGGAAGGGATCCGAGCTCTGTCTGGTGCATGAGGTCATATTTTACAATGGACATTGTCTGAGCACGTGTACACATGCACACCGCACACGCAAACACACACCTTCACCTGTTGATCTAGATTAATTGGTTCAAAGCATTAAGGCTTCCATGTAACTTCAGCATTCACAGCTGTGGGGGCAGGGACTTCGTTCTCTTGCTCAGGGGAGGGGAAGGAGTACCTGGGTAGATTATTGATAACCAGCTGGAAGGGCTGGAAATGCAGCCTTCTGACCACCTGCCTTTAATCCCTGCATTTCCTGCCTCTGGCAAGATCCATGGTTACCTAAAAGTCTAAACCAGAGTCTGAGTCCTGTGCCAAAAGAACAGGGGAAGACTCTGGTTCTCAGAGAGCTCTTCTGTCCTCGAGGGGGAGGGTGGTGAGGACGGGGTTTTATTCTTGTTATTCCAAGTCTCTGAGCTGTGCGGGGAAGTGGGAGAGGAAAGAGGGTGGGGAGGGCAGGGAGCAGATAATGCAGGGGCAAGCCCTCCCTGCTGTGGGGCCAGGGGAGGAGTCTGGTGCAGGAGCTTAGCCCCCAGAACAGAGGTTCTCTCTGGGGCCTCCCTGCTGCTGGGGTCTAGGGATTGCCCCCTTTGGGTTTGGTTTCTCTGTGCTTGAGGAGGTGGACACTTTGGCTCTGCCCTTTCCTGCTGGAGGTTTGGTTTGTAGATTCCAGGCTTTGTCCTGATTCCTGGAGCTTCTTGGGTAGACAGATGCGTGTGTGCCGGTGCACACGTGCACACCGTGGCTTGGGTGTGGGCTCTCCTGAAGACGACGGTGGTGAAGTCAAACTAAACTGGCTTACAGTCTCCCTGCTCAGTCGCACAACTGAGCTGCATCTTAAGTTATTGTGCAATCTGGCTGTGGTGCTAGATGACCTAGGACCTCTGTCATTTGGCATCTGTGGACTTCCCATCAGCCTGGGACGGGAAAGTGGGAGAACTGGATTAGGTGGCTTCCCTTGTTCCGTGATCTGGTGTCTCATCGGAACCCAGATGGGTGCAGGTGACAGTAAATCCCTGGTATTTGCAACCTCGGGAGCCTCTGTCCTGAGAAGCTTAGTGCTGCGCTGGAAGAGGCAGGCCTGCACAGGGATTTACCAGGCCTTGAACTTGATTAGCCAAGCCTGCACCAGTACAGTAGGTTAATGAATACCAGATGCCACTGGGCTAGACGCGATGTTCTCACTGCGGGAACTCAGAACCTCCCCTGAGGGCTGCTTTCCTCCTCCTGGACTTGCAAGGAGCCGAAAAGGAGGATTACCTGCCTGCAGGGTGGTGAAGGGTCCTTTCCCTTCAGGCTGAGGACAGTACTTTTTTTTTTTTTTTTAATATACTCACTACTTTTTCTTTTTAAGAGACTGAGTCTCGCTGTGTTGTCCAGTCTAGTCTCAAACTCCTGGCCTCCTGAGTAACTGTGACTACAGGCACACACCAAGGTGCCTGCTAGAGGACTGCACTTCTACCAGCTCTTTTTTTCCCTTCTTTCGCCCCTCACCTCTTAACTGCCTGCTGGAAAGCCTGTCTAAGGGCATGTTCTGAGCAATGGGAAAGAGCCACCTGGTAGAAGGGAGGAGGCCAGAAGGAGCAGGAGAGGGGAGGTTGGGGACACTGGCTCTGTGCTGCCGCTTGCTTCTCCTGCCTTGTGCCAGAGCTCTGGTCAGAACCTCAGATAGAGATAAGGCTGCTCTGTCCCCAGCTTCATTGGGCCTACACTGACCTAGGATTCCGGAATATTCAAGTCCTGACTGGGGCTAGTTTTATGTCCAGATTTACAGTGTGGTAAGCATTGTTGGGATGTTGTTTTTGAGTCCTGAAGCCAGCAAAAGGAGGAAAGTATGACATTTTTTTCCAGTGGCTTTAAAAATAATTTATCAAGACCTCATTTGTGGCCGGGCGTGGTGGCTCACGCCTGTAATCCTAGCACTCTGGGAGGCCAAGGCGGGAGGATTGCTTGAACTCAGGAGTTAGAGACCAGCCTGAGCAAGAGTGCGAGACCCTGTCTCTACTATAAATAGAAAGAAATTAGCCAAACTAATTTCGCTAAAAACAACTAAAATTAGAAAAAAAATTAGCCGGGCCTGGTGGCGCATGCCTGTGGTCCCAGCTACCCGGGAGGCTGAGGCAGGAGGATCGCTTGAGCCCGGGAGTTTGAGGTTGCTGTGAGCTAGGCTGACGCCACGGCACTCTAGCCCAGGCAAGAGAGTGAGACTCTGTCTCAAAAAAAAAAAAAAAAAAAAAGAAGACCTTATTTGCATGTAAGCTGGTTCTATACCTTGCCTGGGAAATGAAGCAGTTCCTACAGGGATTCTCTTCCTGGCTATCTTGTGCTGGGGGCCCATTCTCACATGGGGAGTCTTTTCTCTCTTCGCTACTGAGCTATTGACCAGCCAGGCAGGTCCTCTTAGCTCAACTGCTCTCTGTGCTGCCTCCTTCTAGAAAAATCAATGCACCTCCTCCCCAAAGTCTCATAATTTTGTCCTCTTGAGACCATCCTGGACTTGGCGGGTGGAGGGGTCTGGCAGGCAGCTCCTGCCCCCGTGGGTCTCCCTGGAGTATGTATTCTGGGTGCACTCGCTGTGTCTTTGCCCACCAGGAAAGAGCGCCACCCTCTTCAGCCGCCACACCAAGGCCATCGTGTGGGGCATGCAGACCCGGGCAGTGCAAGGCATGCTGGACTTTGACTACGTCTGCTCCCGAGACGAGCCCTCGGTGGCTGCCATGGTCTACCCTTTCACGTGAGTCATGGCACAGCAGAAGCATCTCCTCCCTCTGCTAAGACAAAGCCTGGGGACTCGGTTAGCTCATCCCTTTTGCTGGAGAAGGCTCTGCCCAGCAAAAGAGATGGGAGGCAAGAGATATTCCTGGGGAATCTTTTTCCCTTAGATGGAAATTCTTTGAGAACAGAGACCTTGCCTTTTCTACCTTCTAGGTGAAGTTCCTCCACTCAGCTTCCCCCTCCCCAGTCCTAACAGATTGAGGCTGTCCTAACCCTTCCTCTACCTTCTCATAGTGGGGACCACAAGCAGAAGTTTTACTGGGGACATAAGGAGATCCTGATCCCTGTCTTCAAAAACATGGCTGATGCCATGAGGAAGCACCCAGAGGTCGATGTGCTGATCAACTTCGCCTCTCTCCGCTCCGCTTATGACAGTACCATGGAGACCATGAATTATGCTCAGGTAGGTCCCTGGGCCTATCTGGCGTAGGGGTGGGGAAGCAGGAAAGGCTTCTTGGTGGTGTCAGCAGTCACTACCACCTGGGACAAAGGGCTGGACATTCGGAGTGGCCAGTGGTTTGGGTGAAAGTGGTTGGAGACAGTCATCTTCAGAAGTCAGGGTAGTGACCGAGGACAGGTCAGACCAGACTGGGCGGAGGCTGCTTTCCTGGGCTTACGATGAGTCAGTTCAGGCTCATCTGTCCACCAGCTCTGCTCTCTGCTATCCAGCACTGGCTTGAGAAACAGGATTGAAAGCATTTTTTTAAATTAATTTTGTTTTTAAAATAGAGACAGGGTCTCGCTCTTGCTCAGGCTGGTCTCAAACTCTTGAGCTCAAGCGATCCTTCCGCCTCGGCCTCCTAGGGTGCTAGGATTACAGGCGTAGGCCACTGCGCCCGGCTGAAAGCATTTTCTTATAAAAGTATTAACATATTTATTATAGAAAACCTTCAAAATACTGATAAATATTTTTTTCGAAGAAAATAAATACTGTGAGTCCCATTTCCCAGAAACCTGGCTGCTGTCATTTCAGTATATCCTTATCCACACCTTTTTCTCAATTTGAACAAATGGAATAATACTGTATGGAACTATTGTATAATCTGCTTTCTTCAGTTACTCTTTTCACATCAATAAATAGGTATTAGCAACATTGTGTTTGCTTTTTCAGGTCTTATGATGAGCATCTTGAACTAACATTTGCAAATATCCTTAATTACTCCCCTAACATGAATTTCTATAAGTTGAACTGATGCATGAGAACGTGCAGGTTTGAGAGGCTCTGATCCATCCAGCCCCAGTAAGGTTCTACCGATGTAAACTCCCATTGGTAGTTTGTGCCTTGTGTCTGAATCCCCTTGGCAACACTAAATGTTTGCCGAATTAATAGGCATTCCATTTAATTTGCATATCTTTTGATTATTAACTAAGATGAGCTTTAAAAAACATTGCCCATTTGTATTCTGTTATTGTCCCTTCCTCCCCTTTTTTTCTACTGGGGTGTTTGTCTTTTTTTTGTTATCGACTTGTAAAAGCCCCTTATAAATTTGGGTATTGATTGTTTTATTCAAAATTATCTTCTCAACCCAGGTTGGCTCATTTCAGTTTGTGGTTGGAGAATATAAAATTGTTTTGCTAGCTAGAGGAAGTGAAAAGGAAAACACATCTGCTAAAAATGATCTGTTTCTTTAATCTAGAGCAGAGGATGGCAGACTACAGCCCAAAGCAAAACCTGGCCCACCTCCTATTTCTG